GGACAGAAAACCACAAAAATTAGTGGAGGAAGGAGTTTGTTGTTATATCTTTGCGTTATTAATCATTTTGTTTTCTTTACAATATAGTATGCTAATTATAAACGATAATTACACTCCAAATTAATTTTTAACAATTAAATTTTATTAGCAAAAAAAGAGCAGTTCATTTTCTTTATTTGAAAATTAAAATGATAATATTGATGCAAGACTTTTAGCGGTTATGACAACTTTAAATCTTTTAAAATAGATGAAAATTGTAGTAATCACAAAAATGCAAGGATGAAAATTTGAATATTAGAAACTAAAAAAAATTAATGAATGAATATACATTTCATTCATATAGGGCCAACGCAAAGAGGAAGCAAACTTGCGGGCAGCTGATAAAGTTCATCCTAAACGCATGGTATTATCTCAGATTTGTAATAACCAGTTTAAAACTGATAATAATATTAAGCAGCAACAGTAAAAGTGATAATGATAACGTTGATCAATCGATTGATTAATATTATCAATAATCAAAACAATAAAGTTCTTGTAATGCTTTGAAAATAGACAGAAGTAGAATTTTTCAAAAATTTTAAATTCATTAAAGAGTTTTAGTTCTTTATGAATGATCCAAGTGAATATGCTGCACATTGCAGAGGTTGAAATCAATCATTTATTTTCACTATAGTTATTATGACTTGAATTTGTGTCAAATTATTAAAATTCATTATAGTGTTTACAGATAAGTTATCAGAGCAAATAAATGAAATACAATATTGCAGCGTCCATTCTGCTATGATGAATCGCTTGATGGTGTAGCAGAAAGTCTGATGAGTATAAATGATACGGAAAGTAGCGAATCGGAAGTGATGACCTGTCCAGTTTCTGAAACACCTTCTTGTGGTTCAGACGAAAGTTTTGAGCAGAGTGCTATAAAAACAGAGAGTTCTATAGAAAGTGAAACAGACGTACGATCATCAGATTTACATTCCGAAAATTAATTTGTATAAAATTATAGTGATTTGTGATAAAAATTCTGGAATTTATACTAATTTACATATTTATAGTTTAATAGTAGATAAATTTTCATGCGTACACTACAGTGCTATATTAATTAAAATTTGATAACGATTTCTATTGCAAATGATTTACAGATCTAATTTGATACAATATAGCAGTTTGGAAAAGCTTACATTTGTTAAGACAATTCTTATTAAGTCTGATTATAGTTAGTACAAAAAATAAAAATAAAATTAGTTATTTAAAAGAGAAGGAAAATGCTTATTTTTTTAATATATAATTGTTTTTACAGGAAGAAATTTTACAGAACATTAAATGTTAAGTATTGAATGTTATCCTTAAGAATACAGTGCACCCATTTTACAAAATATGGCACTTGATAGAGAGAACATGACATATTTTGAAGACTCTTGTCTTGACCTCTGAAAAAGGTCAAGACTGTAAGGGATGAAGGAAATAAATGCATTTTAGGAAGATGATACAAAGGAAGACGAAACGCAAATTCAGGATTATCCAGTTTCAATAAATATTCCCAAAATTAGTCATACAGATGGTTAGTTAGTAATATTCCCATAAAGGCTGCTTCAATACTAATTTAATTTATCAGGTATTTATTGAAATTAATCATTCATTACTTTCAAAAAGTTTATGACAAAGTGGACAGCAACATCTTAATAGCTACACTGATTGTTTCAAGTTATAAAAAATTTAGCTATTGTCTTAAACAAATTTGACACTTAATTAGTACCGGCTATCATTCATCTGTTAGCAGTTAATTATTTACATGAATATTATTTATATTATTAAAGATGCATCAATCAGACGAGGTTCATCAAGTGTTCAAAAGCTGGTAAAGGGAGAAAAAATAACTGATTTCGCGCACAGTTATTTTTTCTTTAAAAGTAATTTGATTAAAACTTTGAAACTCCAACATGAATTTTTATGGAAAATGGAATTTCATATATCAGAGTTTTGTCGAAGTGAAGTATTGGTTTGTTATTTTATTTATATTAATTAATAAATTATAACTGCGTATATAACTGTAATAATCAAAACGATATAAAAATATTCATAGCAGCAATTAGTGAATAGTTAAAGTAATTATTTAATAACTATCGTCTAATTGATCTTTATTGCATAAATTTTGAAATAACATTTCAGTGATAAAATTTTTTGAATTAAAAATGCTCAAAAAATCTTAGAAACAAGGAAAAAACCGTACATCAACTGTTGTTAACTTTAACGAAGGTGCAGTACGCTTAGTTCCAACGATGTCTGAAGATTCATGCTATATTCATGCATCCAGAATCAATCTACCTTATGGAAATTTTATCATAGCACAAGTAAAATTTTTTACAAAAATTTGGTACTTTTTATTTTTCAATTTTCAACTTCATTTTCAATTATAATTCGTTTTTACATTGTTGTTGAAAAAACTGAGACTGTGGAAACAAATACCATTATTAAGCTTTGTTAAACGAAAAAAAATAACCTTCCATCCTGGAAACAACTGATAATGATAAGACTAATGATAATAATTTCAACATTAAAAGTAATAATAACATTTATCACTGAGATCATGCATTAAATTTATTTATCAAATTATCACTATCAATATAACATATACTTATTATTATATCAATAGTATCCGGACCTATCAATAATTTTTATCATCCAGATATCCATTTGTCATATTATTAAAAAAATAAACATGCTTAATTTCTTAAGGGGCCAACACAGACATCATTAATTGACTTCTTCCGCATGCTCTGGCAGTACAGAATACCTCTAGTGGTTTGTCTCGATTCGCTTACTAATCAAGACACTTGTTATCGTTACTTCAGTACTAAACGACAACAAGCTGTTAAGGTTATTGTAATTAATATTTATTAAACGAATAATTAAGACATTACCCTCACTTAAAATATTTGCAGTACAACTTTTTTAGTAGCCAAAATTAATCACTTTTACAAATTTGCTATGAATTAATAAAAAAGTATAAGTAATTCAGGCATCAGATCGGATTACCATTGAAACAACTGGAATAATGGAGACAACTGTCCCAAATTTGTTTATTTATGAGGCTGTCATCACAAATACTGAAATAAAATCCGGTTGTAAGTGATTATTCTTCGGATGAAATCTTTTGCAATCAAAAAGAAGAATCAAATAAATAAAACATCATTCATATCAAAATAATCTAAATTTTATGTTATAAAGTAATTATTGAGAAATTTGAATTTTGCAATAACTATTATACAAATGTTAAATTTCATTTAAAACTGTTTTTGAAGATTCTAAAAATAAAAATTATTGCATATTTATAAAAAACAAAAACATTATATTCATGCAGAAGCATTGACTATCTGCTTGACAGCATGTAAAAATAAAAAGCTTAAAGAGAACATGCACCAAATTAAGTGAATTAAAAAATCTGTTTGAAAAATTTACATATGTACATTTCTTATTTCAGCAAATCATCGGATCATTCATATTGTGCATTATGATAAATGGGAAGGTGAAAATACTATATCACCACAAGTTTTGGTCAAAATAATCACTATCATGAAAACAATGAGCGACAAATTTGATCAGAAATCGATTGTAGTACACGGAAGTAACGGAATCAAACGTTCAGTTGTTTACGTTCTCACTTCAGTATTAATGCAACAGGTAAGAAAGAATGTACTGCCAGAAAAATTTATGCTGCACTCTGTTTTTTTGTAAATCAAAAACTTTCCTTCTATGAGTTTTTGAACAATTACAAGCAAAAAATAAAGGAGAATTTCTAGCAAACTTTTTTTCTCTTAATTTTTGAATTCCATAAAGTTAATAAAATGATTTTATAGATTACAAAATTCCGTCGTTTGTCTGTATTGAGTGCACCAATCGCAGTATGTAAGCGACGATATGGTGCGTTACGATCAGTAGATGATTATCGCTTGGTACTTCAATCAGCTTTATGCTTCGCAAAGCAATGTGAACTGATTACTGATATGAAAAAATATGAGAACGCAATGGAAGTAAGTATTTACTCTCGATCTAAATTTGTTAAAATGGTCCTACAATTAAACTTTGTTACTTCATTTTTCTTTGTCCACTTAAAGTGGACAAAATAAATTTCATAGGAAAATTATCATCCAAGACTTGACAGCAGAAGTTATATTCGAATATGTACTACAGATATTGGAGGCAAAGAATGTGAACAAACGATGACAAACTGTGTGATATGACAATAAATCATTTGTGATTAAATATATCAACACTTATTTATGCAAACTGATTCAGTCATAAAAATTTACAAATCCCACACTCTTGGTAGAATGATTGAACCGTGTTGAATACTCTCCATTCGTGCCTGCACTCTACATGTAACACATTTATATATTCTACACTTCTTGCTACTTCGAATTCATAAAATAAATGTGCATATTTTCCCATATCGAAATGTGCCTATAGACTAGCTTAACTTACTAGTCTCGAGCAGATATCTGTGCTTGCAAACCACCCATAACTTTGATCAATTGAAATATATCACATAAAAGTGCTCAAAATTCTCGAAGAATGAATTATATCAATGAAGATTGCAAATTCAATCCTATCTTCTTACTACTCTGAAAAGCCTACTTTGTTTCAAATAACAAAAATTGTTACTTTTCTAGAATTCCATTTATCTATATCATTAATTTGCGAATGGAGAAAAATCACTGATTCAGCGAGCGCATTGAGAATAAGAGGTATAAATTTTGTCAAAAAAATGATTTGAGCCAAAAAGCACGACTGTAATGTCTACTAGTCGGAATCATGCAAGACTTACTACTTAATGCCATGCATTGACTGTAACGGTTTTACAATTACCGGTACTCCAGGAACAATTTGATGAAATTTAACCCCGATAGTTTATTGAAAAAATTTTCACATCAAATTCTGCAAATAACGACATAGAATCAATGCGTCCCTCAATGTCTTTGTAAATAAAAAGACAAGACGGAATCTATAATAGTAGAAATGCTTCAGGAAGTTTGTCTCATAATCCCTAATATTTCAGTAAGGTGAGAAGTTAGAATTATAATTGCAATAGAAAACTTTGAAACCATATTCATTATTGACTGGTACATGCTAATCAGTCTACTTAAGCATAAAATAGTTCGCACCAGACCACATCCTCAAACCTACAAAAGCCTTCTACTTATAACTTCAAATCCCGAATACAAATCTGTGTCTTTGTTTACAAATTTTGAAAGTAATAGCGCTGAAGACTAAATTACTTTTGAATTTCTTAACACACTGCAATCTCGAAGAAAATTGAATCCAAATGTCTTTCAGAACATACTAAGATTATTAAATATAAAATTTTCAATGTTAAACAATGAATTTAATAAAATTAATAGAACTACAGTAATTCAAGCATCAATTTCAATGGTACAGAATCTTACGGTCAATCAAGTTTGAAAAGAAAAAGAAACGAATAACTATTCAGATAAAGAACTGTGTAATTCTCAGTTGAACATAAATCGAAAAGTGAATCCTCTACAATATGAAACTGATGCTTCTTTTTCATTGTGTCATCTAAAAAGCTATCCATAGTTTAAAACCATTTATGAAAAAATAACACAGGTTTTAAGAAAAAAAAAACATTACGTTATAAGGACCCACATATGCCATGTAACTGAAAATGAAGATTAAATACCACTTCTCCCTATGCTACAAAGAAATCTACAAATTCCCTAGAAGTTAGAGCTACTTACAAAATTTCATTATATACATAATAATACTCCTGCTTTGCTCTTTTGCTCAGTTCAAAGCTAACATAAGTTTACAACATGATGAAAATAAAAGTACTTGAAAGAATAGAATAACACGACAAAAAATTATGCGTAGAACATTCCAACTTTAGTGCTGCTTTATAATGCACCAGTCAAGCACTTTATAACACTTCAGTGCATCATTGATTAGAACAAAGCATTTGTGCAAGACTTGACATTCATTACTGCTTCGTTTGTAATTCTTTCATCGATGACTGCAAATCAATAAAAAGAATAGTGAGATCTCATTAAAAATAGTAAAGAATTATCAGCAGTATAAATACATCGATCTATATCAGGCAAACAGTTTTAATGACTTTAGAGTTTTAAACATCTACTGAAAAAGGTAAAGTTACTGAAGAGACCTCATTAAGAAGAGGGAGTGACACTTCAGCAACTGTTCGCAGAGTTGAAGAAATGGGAGGAGAGAATGCACTATTTGGTGATGGCACCAAAGGTCCTACTTTTGTCATTCCCATTGGCATCGGCAGACATGATGACTGCTGTGCTAATTTCACCTGTAATCCATGAAACGGATGTTGTTCTAACTGTTGCTGAGCCAATAACAAGTGTGGAGGAGCCATCTAATAATAAAAAAATTTGTTTCAAAATCGTCCAAAAATGTTTTATCCAATCATAATAACAACAATGGAGTATTTCCTGCATTAAAACAAGATTTCCTTCGAAGTCGATTTCAAATAATATTGTCATCTCCAAGAAGCAGTAACAGGTGTACCAATTTCCAAAACACAAATATAGCTAAGAAAAGCGTAACGAGAAAAGATTCAAACCCGGCATGTATCCTGTGTTGAGTTCGCAAAATGAACTTCATCACTGAGATGCATCATTTTTTCATTGCTAAAATTATTATTGCCGTACATTTGTAGAGTAGAAGCATATTCTTGCCTCGTTTTATTCTGCTGGCAAAAATTAGCTCCCGCATTTAATAATGGCACATTTTCTTGACACATCAATGCAGGTTCAACGAAATGGGACTGAATCGGAGGTGAGGAACCACTGGGATGAATAATTACTTCTTCCTGAATAAATTGGAGACTCAGTGTCTTCAACTAATATTATGTAAGAATTGATAGAATATGGCAATTTGTATTAACAGTGATTTAAAAAAATGCTCATATAAAGACTAACGCGCAATATACAAAAAACTGTACTAATTCAGGAGCTGAACATTGTTTTGTGAACTCAAACAGATTGGTAGTGCAATCAGTTTGGCTGCTTGGCTCGACGTCGTCAAGCTTTATTTGCTCAATGGATGAAAAGTGTGAAGATTGTGTGAGATCGATTGGTGGAGCGATAAGTACTTTTCTATTGATGTTCATCTGTTGTGGAAGGATCGAAGCCGCTGCATTGAAGCTAAATTTATCACCTTCAATGTTCTTACTTGGGAGAACAGATTTTAACGCGTTTTCTGAATTTTGGTCAATTTGCTCTGGTCTGAAAAAGGAATTACATTCATATCGAACATTTCTTAAATAGCACATGACAATACATGTTAATGTTATATATGTATAGAGTATTTATTTAGATAGGAACAAAGCAAAGAACATGATTTCTAGCGAAGTTAAAAATACCTGCGCGGGGGACCAGGCATAACTTCAGCTAACAGCTCCGGCAAAAATACACCAATTCGTTTCACAGTCATTTCATACAAATCAGGTATGTTATTAAACATCTCGGTATTATCCATGACAAGAATCATATTTTTTAACGATTCCGGAATAGCTTCAGAAAGCAGATCACTACGATCAGCATGGAGATATTGGTCCATATAGTCCAGCAGGTGTAACCACAAGCATGAAAATGATCTCATTGAACTCAAAGGCCTGAAAATATATTTGGGATTATATTTCGTAAAAGCAGTTATCCCATGCATTCTTTATATAAGGTTTAAAAGCCCGGTAAAAAAAACAGAGCATCAACAGAATTTTTCTTATCAGAAATTTGGAAGGGAAATGGTCTCTATGGTATTAATTAAATGATTTCAGTTTGTTATATTTGTGAAATAAGATTTGAAATCCATTTAAATAGAGAATGCAAAAAACGAAATTATCAAAACTTTCAATGCTTCTAAAAAAAACTTACGTAAGATGATTAAGTAAAATTTTTGACACCAATTGCATAGCACGTACTCTTGTCTCTTCCATCCCAATAGGGTCCATCGGTGATAAGTTTTCAAGTAGTTTTTGTAGTAATGGGAAAAGAACTTCAGCAAAACAGTCTTCCCACTGTTCACCCTGCATTGCTTGCATTTCCGGTATTAAGAAGGCCCGCTATAAATGCAATATGTAATGCACAACTAAATATGTTATGTGCATCAATTTTTAGGAAAATTACCACAAGAAAATTGATTGCTTGAGTTCGCACTTGTCGTCTACAATCACAACAATTGCGAGCCATACACTGCAGGAGTGGTCGCCAACAATGGCACCACAAAGTAGGTAGACTTGCATCAATCTGGAATATACAAGAATCGATCTACAATTCATGGGCATATGAAGACAAGATACCACTATTTCTAAGAATTATAACTTTCGATTTTCACGAGAAATGAAAATAAGACATGAGAAGACAAAAATTTCTTACTTTGGCTCCGCTATCAGCCCAACTTTTATATATTGTTGCACTTTTTACATGCAATGTATGACATAAATCAAGTACTTGGTATGTTATCTGAAATAAGCAAAGTATAATATACACATCATATCAATAAACAAATGACATTTCCAGGTCATTTGACTAGAACATAAAAAACTGATTGCTAAGAACATGAACAATAGAGTATACTTCCAGAACATGAAAGGATCTCGACTTTTGATGTTTCGAACCTCAAAAAACCTCATTCACTGAAAAGCATAACCTGCTGGTAACAAGCTGATAACTGCTGTGGCTCGGCCTGAGACATTTTTTCTTCTTTCTCAAAGTCATTTTTAGCATTTATTGACATCTGCTTATGATTTTTATCTGCAATAAAAGTATACGTTCGAAAATTATAGTATAAAGATTCTTTAAATAAGATTCAATTAATCTTGATTTCAACTTTAATTCTTTTACATAGCCATTACAAAGTTTCTGTTCAATATAAAATGCGATTAAAAAACTATATATTTTATAAATCCATAATTGTCATGTTCTCACGTTTTGATTTTTCGTTTCTTACAACACTTCGCAGTTGACTTTGAGCATCGCTACTGAGTGGACCGGAAGCATACCTGTAGCATCAGAAACTCCATGAATTTGGTATAAAATTGTAAAAAGCATTAGGCAGTTCCATATGAAGTGTTACACGACCAAAATGCACTTACCTTCCACCATCCAGACCAGCTTCAGTATACGACCGAAGACACTCAACACATGAATCGAAATTTTCCGGAGTAATGTGGGCAGCGTCACGCACCAAAAATGCCAATGTTTCTCCCAATTTAAGAAATGCAAACGGATCATGTCTGAAATGAGTTGTATACTTGAAACAAACCACTCCATATCTCTATAACATGACACACGATGTGTATGAAATTCTAAAAAAACCTCATAAGATTGATACGCAAAACAACAGTTCCCCGATCAAAAACACTAGAATGCTTTCCAGTTTTCAGAAGTTTCATTTGTTGCTGGCACAATGCTGCTGAAAATATTTTTAAAATCTGTCATCATGCTTGAAATCCTTTCTCCCAAGGCTTTTGAAGAATAAAAGAGAAACAAAATTAAGCCGAGGAATCAGTTCACTCTTTTGTCAAATAAAGTGAAGAGTCAGGATCAAAAACTAGACACTCAGAAATGCAAAGAACAATAAGTACCATCTTTATGATTAATATGAATCCATTCAGTACTCGCTTCTTTAGTTAACGATAATGTACTGTCCATGTGATGTTCAGAAAAAGATGAGAGTGAAGATAATGAACCTAAAAACACTTTGTTTCATGTTCACAGAAACTATTTTTGTTCAAATTTTTTACAGTTCAGTAGCTACAAAATGATTAAACATCAGTCCAGTCATGGTAATCAAATGCAAAACTGCAGACCTTTAATAACATCTGATGTGTAACCTCTATCAAGAGAAACTCTCTCTTTCGCATCATCGATTCGAAGACGACTCAGGCATGGTTCCGTGTCACTATAAGCTTCACGATCCACGGCTTTAGATTTTGATGGTGATGACGACTGCTGCATCTAAAACATTTTCAAAATAATCACTTTAGTTTTTCCGGTTAATTTACATGTAAGAAACTTATTGCTATACTAAAGGCAGGTTGAGACCATTGTTACCTGATAATATGACTAAATTATGAAAAAATCATTCAAAAAGATCTCTCAAAAAATAAAGCTTACGACAGGATGATGCATAGGAAAATCTTCTGGGTAAGCACCTGCACCAGCAGCCTCCATTAATCCAAATAACACTGCCCAGTGTTCTTTTAAATGTACATTAGCTGCATTCGTTCGTAATAACTCATGTAAACCATATGTTATTTGGCGAGAAAACATAAACATAGCTGGCGCCGGTAATTTCTAAAGTGAAGAACATAACTGATTATTGCTACACATTCCTCATAAAATTTTATGTACTAAAAATTCTCAAATATTCATTTAATTTACTAAATAAAAAAATTATAAATGTTGCAAAAAAATATACAATAAATACAAACTAAAAGAATTCCTAAAGACTGCAACACTTCATCCGTAACATCATCTTTAATTCGAAACAAGTTCCTATTCGCAATCCTAAGTAAACCAACTACAGCTCGTTCCATAATTAAAGGATTGCGACCAAAAGTACTTAGAAGCCACTGCAAATGTTGTTTTATTGGTGACCATATTTGCGATAACCGATCTTTATTTTCCAGTGCTATGCTGATCATCATCTCTAAATAAAGCACGAGTGCATCTTCTTCCTGAAAAATATTTTTAACAGATGTACATCAAAGAAAAAAAAGATGATTATTCTCGAATAAAATAAATCCATGATAGATCTGATATTGAAAGGATTTTTCTCATATATCAACATTAAAGATGTCTAACCACTTTACAGAACAGAAATATCAGCTGTCAAGCTACCTGAAATTAAAACCTACCACATATTTCATTTACTCACGTTAATGGAAAGTTCAAAAAATTTTTTTGGACGTAAAAACAGAGTTAAGGTTATAAAAATAATGATTTAAATTTTAAATAATAACTTGTTCTTTTAGTTTTTTTGATGTTGGCCCAATTTTATCGGCCTCAATATGAGCTATATTTGTAGACGCCTGTATTATTGCACTAATTAGCTCCGCAAGCGCAGATGATGTAAGGTATTTTCCATCAACAATAAGCTGCTCTGGATGACAATCCACTATAACTCCTTGAGCAACCTGTATTAAAAGCAATCTTAAATGTTGAACATAGAACTCTGAACTCTAAACTATGTAAATAGAGAAATATTAATATTTTAGAGAGGTCAATGTTTACTTTAATTAGCTGCAGCTGGTCGGGATTTGGTGAGAACTCCTTATTATCATAATTAGAACCAAGTCCAAGCCAACTCAACAAGCTAGAATCATTTCGACTCGTTGAGAACTTTCTGTAAAAAGTTAGAATACAATAATAATACAAAAGAATTGAAATTCTTCGAAATTGATGAAAAAAGATGAGGATAGTTTAGACTTACGGTGGTGGTGCTCGCTGTATCGAGACCCATCCTTTCTTGTCAACAAAGTCCTCCACTTCCGTAATCACAGATGGCAATAATCTAGCATAAAATAAACGCAATATACAATCTAACACGTTTTTCCAGCCCTATAAATTATCGAAAAAATATAATTTCATTGAAATTTCTAAAAATATTTAGATACACAATGCATTCAAAACTGAAACACAAGCGCACTTCTCGCAAAATATCTCCATGAGCATGAACCAACTGAAACATAGCTTTTGCCGCCATCTGTGCTTTTGTATTTTCACCAAAAGAAATTGCGATAAGCTCTGCATTTTGACTGTTTTCATACACACTACGGTGTTGTTGGATTTGCAGATTTTGTTCCGAATTACCTCAAAATATCAAGATAATCCGAGAAAAATTTCTATGCAGTAATTTGTATTTTTTCTTATTTATATAAATATTTATAGCTATCAATACTGTTCATGAAAACAATGAAGTCAATATATGTCAAAATAGACTGGATAAAGCCTACAAATAAAAAACTGCAATTTCCATAGAAGCAAACCACATATCTAAATCTGTTATTCAAAGGAAACTTCGTTTCTTACTCTTATAAATATAATTTTATCCCAGAAAGCAGAATTACTTTCACTGGTAGACATCAAGGTTGAAAATTTGCACAAATGAATAATCAAATTATCGAAGACATCGCTCATTCCATAATGAGCGGCAATGGAAGCACACTTGCGATACCCACTTAAAACTTTCTAAAAAACATAATAAAACTTTCTGTCATATTTAAAACTGTTGCAGCTGTTGTACAGTAAAAGAAATAAAAGAACCACCGATATGACGTAATTCATCAACCAATTCTCAACTTTACCTGCAAAATGGATTCTCTTCCGCTCTTGTCAAAAACAAACGATAATGCTGCTGAAGCTGGTCCCCAAATAATACTGAATAAATCATGATCATTCCATCCAGCAGGTACGTGAATAAATTCGCCTTCTTTTGTCTCACCACGACGCAACAAAACCTAAACGTTCGTTAGGAAAACTCATTTCCTATAATCTCTTTCATTTACAATGCCGGTATCCTATACAAATTCTAATCCCAAAGTTTCATAAAAATGGAACCAGAATTCACGGATTTTTACTTGTTAAACTTTCCTTACCTCAAATTTTAAAGGAATTTAATTGTTCAAATAATTTGACCAAACAAAAGTAATCTTAGTTATTGCTATGTTTCATCATAAACTTACCTTCCACAGATAATTTTCCTTTACAATTCCAACTTGTTCAGCAGGCATAACAATTTCTTTATCTCTGAAACAATTAGAATTCAAAAGAACCAATCTACTATTACTAAAAACGTTGAATTTTTTGACTTGAAAAGACTTCATATTTAATTTATGTGAATGTGTTTATTCTAGCTATACCTTATAGCTCTATATATTTCATCCAACATTTTAGAATCGAAATCTTGACCACCGTTCGTACCGGATAAATTTCGTATGAAGCATTCTGCTCGCATTGGCTGCTGATTTCTTCGTACCTTACATTTTAATTAGATTTAAAAATTACTGAATTTAAAAAGAATAAGAAATGTCTTGAACGTCATTCTGCTGTTAGTGAACATTAGCCCAAAACGATGAATGCCAGTAATACCTGAGGATTGTGCTGATCGGTATTCAACATTATTATTGCATAGGCCAAAGTAAATGCTGCATCAACATGGTTAAAGGGTTCACCATTAGAGACGTACCAGTGTTCTGAATTTAAAAAGAACAGCTAAAGTAATGAAAACAAAGAAACTTTATTTAACAATTTCTTTATCCAATTTTGCAACAAATGATTGTCAAATACACATTTTGGTACTAAGAGAGCTCACATCTTCTAGTTTCGCAATTTTAATTGAAATAATAAAACTGATTCTGTAACATAAATACAATTACTGAAACCGAAATAGTTGTCATAACTTGGTAAAGTAGCTTTAGCGAAAGTTTAGAACAATTAGAAATTCATCAACCTGCGAAATGTTGCATAACCATAGAAATTTCACCAGCTTCTCCTGGTAATCTGAAGGTTTCCAGAAACATACGCAGAGCATCATCCAAACGGATATTTTTAAACGGAAACGATCGCACAAATGCATGAAGTACAGCTGTGTTCTTTCGACTGCAATAACAAAACATCACAATATATAGAAAACTTCCCCATATGTTCGACAGTGCCTAACATCTATTTCATATAAATACAATTACATATGCACAATGATGACATGAAGTTAGAAACATTGAAAAATTCTATGTTCTATTATTTCAGTCTTCCTTGATTTTCGGTCCTATATAATCAGGATATAGCCACAAATGAATATAACTTATGTATTGGTAGTCATAAAAATTTTCATACTGTACAACAATTTCGCTCCCTAAAATATTTATACCTGCAAATATATTCAGCGATTCTTTTTTTGTCAAGCCGCGGATTCCCTTTTAACCAATTGACAACGTCACAAGCTTCCAACGGTGATTTTAAAATCGCTTTCTCTTTCAAAAATTCAATTCCTGTAATATATGTTACCTGTGTATTTCTGATTCTCAAAACTGACCCACACTTGACACATTATTTTTTATAACAAACCTTTCCTTGGGTCCTGATTGAAAAGCTCAGTAGCTTCAGTCATTACACGCTTTTTGTTTTTTCTTTCGATAACTTCCGCCATTGATGGAAGTAAACAGGAAGAAGCCATTCGATTAGCATGTAACGCTGTAGAAGGTGAAAATGTCTCAAAAACTCCTGTTTTTCCTGCAATACTGATCACTAAATATTAGAAAACACTCAACTAGCAAGAAAATATATCTGAGTGATAAATTCCTACAAATATACTCACATCAACTCAAGTGTCCTTTCCATACAAGCTCAATTAGTCTAACTTAATTAGCCTAACTAACAGAACAAAGCAGCATTTCGAGTTGAAAAATTAATGAAGTATTTCATTAAAAAGAAATTTTTTAATTGTCAGTTCTCTTGCTATTAAGAAGGTCGGATCATAAAAGCAAAGTCTTTTCATTTAACTTACCAACATTTCGATCATTTTCATATAGAGCTATTTGTCGTCCAAAAACATACCCACTAACAACAGGTAAATGTAACTGAGTCAGTGATGAACTAAACACAAGTGTTGTGAATGAACTTTAAAATTCAGTCAATAATTTCCAAATACAATTGCCAAATAATACAGAACATCTCACAATTACAACATAATCCTAATATTATATGTCAGAAAACAGAAAACAGAACGTACGGTAATGCAGAAGTTTTAAAGTGCGCTCCACCTGCTTGTCTATATATACAATTATTATCGATCGTATCAACAATCGTGAGCAAGCCATCAAGCGAAAGTAAATTGATAGAACGCAAGCCCAGAACAGGGAACGCATTTTCAAGAAGAAGCTTTAAAAAATGAAATTAAAGAGGTCAGAATTTAAAGCTGATCCCTTGCATTAAATGAATCAATGAGAAGGAAATTACCTTTGTTAAATCTTCGAAAAGGTTCGAACAATATAAATCACAATCATAATTGAAATACAGTTCTGTGACAACACCCGCTACTCTCCATAATTGTACAATACTTTCAAGTGCCATCTCTTTCTGTTCATAACTTATTCGTGTCTGCAATTGGAAATCACTCATTTAATTGACTTTAAAAAATTTGAAAAATCTATTTCTGAAAGTATTTGGATAACACAAGAAACAGATAAAAAGCATAAAATACGAAAAAAACCTGTTCACTCGTGACAATCGATTTGAGCTTCAAAAAATACGCCTCGAACTGGAATTTTAGATCTAGTCGAAGACCCTCAAACAGCATAAAGCATACACGATTTGTTGCCGCAAACACTGGCAATTTTTCAATATCCAAAAGCTATAAACTATGTTTGTTTTTATTTCGGAATAATTGGCGTCCTCAGACGCCTCTAAATAATGTTTACATTCCTTTTAACATACCAGCTTCAAATGCTTTTCTTATAATGAAAGAAAACGAAACATGGAATTCAAATACGCGCTTGTTTATTGACCACAGTTTTTTTATTGGAAGAACCTAATTTAGTCCCACACATATAAAGAGTTCACTGCTAACAGTTCTATCTCAATTTAAATGATATAAAAAGTAAATTAAACATTAGCTAGCTAAGTATTTTCAAATATATCCATAAAATTTAGTTTGAGAACAAGGTGTCGCAAAACTGGTGACTGCGACTGTAAGAAAGACAATATCTAGTTTCTTGCCATGAAAAAACAATTTCTTTTTAAGGGAAACGAAAATTCAAAATGACTATAAACGTTTAAACAATACTTGTAAGAGTGCACGACAAAGTTCATCTTTGACTAATGGCATAAGCAAAGAAAACTTTCGGATATGATCAGCTCCAGCTTCGAGTGCGACAGTAAGCAAATTTAATGACATTAAAATCATCGATTCTGTATTAGCACGGTCTGTTGGATTGATAAGTGCAATCAAGAACCTAAGAATAGTATAAAATAAACGAAAGCACAAAAAATTACGCCGAGAGCCCCAGCATAACATGTTGAATCAAGAAAATAACTTGTTTGGAAAAATAAGAGAACGACAGATATTGATTTATTAAAACTTCATTATCAGTAACTGCAAGATGTATCTTAACACGACATTTATTACCTGAGCAGTTCACGAATACATGGAATACCATAAGGAATGTGAATAGCTGGATTTGAAACCAACGGTTCGGGAGAACGTTTTAACTCGTCGTTGCCTTTCATGGAACTATTTTCCTAGAAAAATACGCGTTGAACCAGTTTATATTTTCATATTTTATGTGGTAGTAAAAGCAAAATAACCTTTTCAAGATCAGAAACGCTATCTCCTACTTCTCCAGAACTCTTAAATTTTTTGCGAACTATTCGACCCTTTTCTACATTTTCTTCCACAGATGAGACTGAACTCTACAAACATGAGAATTACCACATGTCTTCAACTTCAATAACAAAGTATTTTAAAAAACTTGAAACAATAAGAAACAATACCTTGATTAAAAACAAGCAGCATAAGGCAACATCTAATAGAAAATTAAGACCCAGAAAACAGTTTCTGATACTGACAGGCATAATACAAGACATATTTTTGACAACTAACATCATCATTATCTGGCATCATACCATCATCTAAATCATGTCGCATTCGTTCGAATTCTCTGTCATGCTCTTCGTCAGCTACAGCAGAGCTGACAGAACAATCGAAAGGGACTTCATGTTGGTCTGTGGAGTTTAAATGAATGGTAACATCATCAACTGTAAAAGTAAGACAAAAATTTGGGCATATTTTTAGTGAAAATAATTGCAAAAAATTCGAATGATTTCTTATTTGAACAATTTTATCGAGATGAAACTATATGTTTATGCTTTAACAGCTTAATTGTCAAATTCCATAATCTTCGCGATAGTTATTGCATGCAATATCTGAGAAATTATAATTCTAACTTTCTGCTTTTTCATGAAATTCATTAATAACATAATGCGCATTATCCATATTGCTTTTTTTTCCTTTTATCCAAATATCAAACTCAATGATCAATTTAACACACCTATTTCTAAAAATTTTAAATTACTATTTCTTACATTCTAAACATTACCTGTCTGCAAATTTTCAAATTTCAGCGTTTCCTTATCGTCTCTCTTCAAGAACATTGTTTCCTTGTTATTTGATAACTCAGCATTTGATGATAACTGTTCACTTGTATCAGCTCCCTGACTAGTTTCTTTGAGTATCATACTCATATTTCCTTTGGGTTTTGACTGAATAAATAGAATTTATAAAAACTCAGTTAAAAAATCTAAAAAGTGTATTTAAAAGATCACCAAGAAATACACTATTTATCCTAAAACAACAATCAAATATTTAAATTTCTTACTTGAGATTCAATAAAATTCTTTTTTAGATTACTGCCTGCACCCTTCTCATTCGACGAATCATTAGAATAGTTTTTTTGCCGTCTCCTCTTCCCCATGATGTGACCAGCACGTTTTACCTGATAAATGCTCAAAAAATTTGGTATTTGATCAGATAATTGTTTCCTACGAGGCATTTTTGACAAAGATTTTTGAAACATTGGGCGACTTTTGCGCAGCTAAGCTTTTTAAAGCCATGATGAAAAACTGATGCATACTAAAGTGTCAAACTTTCTTAATTACGCAAAATAAAATTTATTAAGTTTCCAGTTATCATTATCAGATGAGAAATGATTAATTTTCAAATCGTAGACCGCAATACTTTGTTTAAAAATACGAAGTATCAGATGAATACTAAAAGTAAAGATCTCATGCAACTCCTCGAAACTGAAACAATTGTTACCAGCTTTCGAATATAAGGATGACGAATATCTTCCTGAAATGAGGGTAGCCTGGTAAACAATAACTGTGTCATATCTGATAACGTAGCTTCAGCAACCTCACGCAAAAGTTCGGTTAATGCAGGTTCGAAACTTATTCGAAAACAACTTTGCATCATTTCACACACGCTTTCATTTGACAACAACCGTCCAACTGGAGTAAGCAAAAGAGTGCGCAGTACCTAAAAAATCTACAAACATTTATATGAAGAAAAAATTTCATTCACAATACTAAGATAGCCGAAGACCTTTTCTAAGAGAAATCTAATGGAAATTTCTGGAGCACAAATTAAATACTGTAATTAGGACATTTTGTTTATGGTATAAACTTTAGTAACCTGAAGAATTCTTAAGAGAACAACTTCATCTCTACCACTGTCAGCACTACCGATAAATTTTGCATTTGTTACGGCGTCCGCGATATTTTCAACTGCATTTGATGCTTTGATACTAAAACTGTGATAGAAGAAAATCTGAGCAAAGATTGGAAAAACCTAAGTTAGTATGTAATTGAAAGAGGGACTTCAAGAAAAAATAAAGCTACCTAGAACTGTCAATTAAACCATAACTGAGAAATTTAGAAACTGATGATAAAGCCTGCGCGGTTACAGGTCCATTCGTCTGATCCGAGCGTATAACATCCAGAAATGGACTAAGATAAGTATCTGGATTCATATCTGACAAATCATTCACCTAAATTGTAACATTAATCATTGAGCGAGATCAAAAAGCAAATTTTTTGAAGACAACAGAGAGATTGATTACAGTGATATCGAAGAGTAAAGCTATCCCAGAAACAAAGCAGAATATTTAGTTAGGCATAATATGCAAAAGATAGTAGCTAAAAGTAGATATATCATCAAGAGTAGTATCTAAAAATGGATGTATTTAAGGAATGAGTACAAATAAAACAAAGTCAAATATCAGTAAATCTAAACTTTTGCTTTTCTTTCTTTACATATGCATAAAGTTGAAAGAACTAGTCTTATACTCAACAGTCAGGGAAAAAAGTGATTTGCCTTTAATCAAAAATTTATAAAACGAAAATCAGTATCAAACATTGAAAATTAACCGAATTGAAAACGTCTCGTAAATCAGAGAAATTCCTTAATAATGGATCTGTTTCATCCACCAAGGAATGCCCCAAGTGAACCTGCTGCTGATGATGAGGCCAATGACGATGAGCTTTTTTCAGCAATGCAACCACAGCATTAACTTCTCCTTGAACTACATATAGACCGTTTACGGCCATATTCAAAGTGTGAAAAAAACTGGTTGCGATCCCCTAAAATCTATTAACATTGTCGTTCTTCGAAAAAAATAAATAATAACATAATATTAACCTTTTACTATACTTATGTTGCACGTATGATTTTTTACATATAATAAATGTAAAAAGTAATAATGCCCAGAATAAATTTAGAAAGAAAACATTGATTGTAATGTACATTTATAATGTAGTTAAGGAGTAGTAACATTACCTAAATTCAAAAAGACCTCAAAAACAATATCACTTGACTTTCAAATAATTGTAAAAATTTACAGTAAAAAATGAGTCATCAAATTTTAAAAGTGAATTTTGCCTTTAATTCATAAATCAAATATGACTTCCAGGCGATGACATACCAATTTAAAACTTTATTTCAATTAAATAAATAAAGTCATAACTATAAGGTCAACTCTACATAGCAGAGCATGAACTGCTCGGAAAAAAATGAATTTATATTCAATAAAATACTGGTGTCAACAACCTTGCGTTTACGTACTATTCGACAGTGTTGTCAGAAAAGGCTGACACAATTTAGTAAATCTTGTCTGCAGTGATAGAACAAACGTTAGAGATGAAGACGATGTCACAATACCTGCTCACGCCACTTTCCACGTAATTCCGATCATGCGGCCCGCTTTCATGTACATATTTCTAACTAATCGGAGCATAATGCAAATTTTGTTCTTTCATAGCTGTTTTTAGCCAGTACTGACAAGATTAAAGTAGCATCGAAAGCTACCATTTTCACTACACTTTATTAATACTTTGAGCACTCGTATTTATTTTCCCGATCATACACTACATAAGACAGTGACGTAAGTAGACGATTTATAGAACAATATTACTATTACACTTAAATGAGGAGATATACTGTAATTGAATTGAATAACACAATGCACCTTAAAAGGTTTATAGAAAAGTACAAGGCTTTTTGAATATCATAATTGTGAGGCACTTCAAACAATTACCTACTTCATTATACAGTGAAGTTTCAGGATAATAAACATTGATCACTTGATCATCTTACACAGTGAATTTCACGTGCAAGATTTAAATAATAACGAGCTGGAAAGACAGAAGATGACTTTAAAATGTTCTCCCTAAATCACAAAATGATTGTTTTATCAATTTTTCGTAAACATAAATAATAATCTTCTATCTAACTGCATCATGCATGAAACACCATCCAAAAAGAACAACAGTAATACAATTTGAATCTCAGAAATAGCTCACAGACCAAACCTTGTCTTATTTTTTGTCTAAAATATCATTTATATAAATATGTACATACATGCATGAATAATAATCAAATATTATTACTCAATCCATTCTTTACTTTTATTTAACAGAAACTAATAATCACAAAGTGATTCAGTAAGAGCAGAAATTTTATCAACTATAAACTTTCACTTTTTTAAGTTTGGGGTAGTTGATTTCTTCTGATAGCTGAGTTAAGTATTTGATGTCTATGAATTGGCTTTATTAATTTTGCTTTGAGTAACCACAAAATTTATGACGAAGTTGTTAACTCGAAAATATTAAAAACTCAGAAAATCCTAAATTCAAAACTGCAACAGTAAAAACAATTATGTCAAATACTTAATAAATTTCGCCAAAAATTACTGCTCTGGTTTCTCCCAAAACCAATGATCAGATACCCATCCTGCTCTCGATAATGGCCATATTCTGAAGATTAAGCGTACTTGCACTAAACCTTCTGGTACAGGACCAAATGTCCGAGAATCCGCCGAAACCATAGCATTATCACCTTCTAAGAATATATGTCCTTTAGGGATTCTTTTATTCGGCAACAAACTGCAGTTCAACACTACATCACATTCCTTTGCAGTCAGACGTTTACAAAGCATTTCCGATGGATTATAGGGTGAATATGTACCAACAATATCGCCACGCCAAAGATTGCGTAGATGGACACTGAGACGTTCCGCAATCACCTACAACTTGAACAAGGGATAATTGAGCTGAAACCCAAATTTTAATTCTTTCTCCTTAAATAAATGTGCTCATTCCTACTTATTAAAATGTGTCGCTTGCGACTATTTTTACAAACTTCATGAAAAAACAGCAAACAATAATTTGATGTTTGAATGATTTTGCAATAAAAATATAGCACTTTCTTGGAAATTTTTCTGAATATTTATTTACAAATAGAAATTCTATGTTTGAAAAGTGTGCAAATAATAATGCAAATCGCATTAAAATCAAAATTTTTGGGATTATTTCATGAAACCAATAAAAACAACAGAAATTACATTACCCGTATCTCGTTCTTCTTCTAATTTGTGACTTTTTTTCAAAATTTATTAAACGTCTTCTTATTTCTCTAATCTCACAAATTAGAAGTATTGCTTTGTTAAAAATATTCCAATGATACCTACCAAATCACCATCTTGTATCGTTGGATGCATTGATTCTCCAGAACATATAACTAATTCACCAATATGTGCACCAACTACATAGGATGCACAATAAAAATATCCGATGCCTCGAATAAAACGCCAACTTAAAATCTTCCGAAATAGCATATCATTTAAGCGAACTCCGAGTAACCATTCCTAATAATGCAGATATACATCAAGTCTGCTCAAAACATCACAATAGAAATATTATTGTAAATTTAAAAGTGACCAATACTCTAGTCTGGACAAGTTATAAAATAAAAATTAATAGATTCTATTACTTGCTCCATAATTACTTATTAAAGATGCAAAACATGAAACATACATTTAAATAATGATATGCATTTGAATGATGGACGCAGTTATCAACATGTACTAAATAACGGCTTGTAAATCAACGAACTGCTGAAACTGAATATTTATTCAAAGTTCTTTCGGTACTCGTTATTCACCACAAAATTTTTCCCTCTGGTCAATCTTCACACCTTTTATAACTTCAACTTTTCTTCAATCATTATGCATATTTGTAATTGAAATATTGTGTTGCCAATTTTCCGACTTTTTTCTCTACTTTCAGAGCATAATTCTTGAAACTCCTATCATCACTTCATTCATTACTTTATAAACTAGAACTCACTTTGTTTTGTCACACACATTACTCCATTATCTGCCTGTAACTTTTATCAATTACTTAAATTTTTTCCAATTCCATTACAATCTCTTCTCTCATACGAATACATTTTGCAATTATCAGCACTTATCTATTGCTTCTACAATGGTTTTCTACCAAATTTCATGTCCAGAAAGACATGTATAATGAAAAATTTACAAAAATATCTTACTTGTTTCATTGCTATCTTTAACTGTATGCATATCTGTTACAGTTTATTGTGTGGATACAATGATTACTAAAAAATGGTGTTCTTTACTCAGTACTAATACTCATTAAAAATTGTATTAAATATTGCAAATGTCTTATCATCACATTATTTCCAGTGACAAAGAAGAGCATTCAACGTGTGAATTTCAATCTCTCATCCAACTTTTTGATCAAAACTTTCAAATTGTGAACTGAAAAATATTCTTGCCAGGTTATCAGCAATTACTCCCATGTCTAACATTTGTCAGAAATGCTGCCTTCATCTATTCACAACACTTAAGCTCTCTCATGTGCATCGACTTGAATGAGTGAAACTAACAATATCTTGACATATTCTTTTGATAATTTCAACGATTTTGTAATATCAAACTGTTAAACTGTTCAGATAATTTCAGCACTTCATTTTATGAAAGTCTTGATCAAAATAGTTTTTAAATACTAAAATGATGCGTTTAAAACATTTAATAACTTCTCCAGTCACAGACGTTGTGGATTGAATAAAAACTATACTGCGCCGATACAAATGCTAACTCTTTAAAACATGTTACTCCTATAAAGAATAATTCAAAAAATAATCTAGCAAATTATGATCTCGTAAAAAATGTTAGACACAATCCGATTCTTAAAGCCACTTATCACTTGTACGCTGAAAATTTTGCAAAATATGCACTGCAGTTTGCTTTTGCATTTCACTGGCTCGATCACCAGTAACGTCCTAAAAATATTCTTTAGAAACATTTAGAAACTTTCACAAAATTATTCATCTTTTGCCAAAACTTACATTTTCAGCTGCTACTTTTCCGTTTATAAAATAACGAAATTTAATATTTAGTCATTGTCAGCAACTCCTTATTATCAATAAGTATGATCAAAATACTGTGTAAAAGGTTATGAGTTCAGATACTTTAAACCTGAATAATTTCGAAACTTTTTACTAACTAACGCAATTATATCACTTATTGTTTCGTCTGGACATCGAAAAATAGTCCATAAACCCTAACAGTAAGTAATAAACAAGTAACGAATATGAGGCAGTCATGTTTTACATACACTGCAAGTGCCAAATTTTTTCACTCATATTATCTACATTTGGAGTTATTAATATATGCATAGTAATGTCGATTATTGTTAGTTATCAGACTTTAGAAATCTACTGAAATAGAAGGGAAAGAAAATTTTACGTTTTGGATATGTGGAATGGTGATCTTTTCTAACTTTTGACGATTGCCTTCGCTGCAGGTCATTATTATCTGTGAAAAATTTGAATGATCAGATAACCTAATAAAATAATGAAACAACTTTCAGAAAAAGAGCTAAAACTTAACATATTTTCCTACTTTTCACACTTGATACATCTGTTCTATCTCACCTTCCTCAAATGCGTTTTGTTGATTAGTTACAGAACCATATCGAGTTGTTATCTCGGAACTACTCCTGTGCCACTCATTTTGTGAATTTTCCCTACATCTACAAATTAAAATGTTATTTGTTTAATACCCTTTATTCAGTTATATTTCACCTGAAAAGTACCAGTTTGATCATGGAATTCTTTACTGCGAAAAATCTCATTTATATGGATCTCTTAATTGCTGCAAATGATGTCTGTGTGATGCTAAGATTTCCCGATTACAATTAGTTTTCAGTGCATTATTTATTTTGAATTCAAATCTGATATGTCTTTCTCTGCTTCATTTAATTACTCACTTATTAATTACGTTTTATGTCAAATAAAAGTTTCATAAAGTGACTCAAAAATATTATGACATCATTGCAATTCCAAAATATACTTTTTATTAGAATTACGATTCCATGAATCATTCCATTCCGTTTCATTACTTGTAGTAGCGTAATTGTTCTTCATAAAGTTATGTTGAGAATTTCTATTGTTTTTTGAAACACCATTTTTATTGCATCCTTCATTTGATGTCGCTGTTTCCAACACTGGTATCACTAGAGGCACATGCAGAGGAATCATTATTGGCACTGAGAATGTTGGAAAGTTATAATTTGACCTAAAATTTTTTAATTGTAAATATTAATTGGTAAAAAAAACCCAGTTTAAATAATGAATGAATATATGAGAGTATGGGATCAATTTCAAATCCTATTTAAATGCTAATGAAAATATTTAAAAAATACTAAATACTGTATGCAAAGAATCATTTTACTCATCTTTATCTCTGTTTTGAATATTTGTGATCAGGTAGTAACTTATAATTAAAATATACCATAAACATGTCGGTTTTGCTGTTGCATCAGAATTTTTCAGATTTCGAGTGCTTAACATCATTGATGGGGTCGAATGCTGTTTGCGTGTTGCAGTAATAGATTCTGAATTTGACGGAGTCACTTTGCAGGTGCCTAAGTTACTAATTAAATTCACTTCTGGAAATAAAAATCATCACATGATAAAATATACTGAAAATTTTTCAAAAGTATTTAGACAAAAAAGTACTTTGTCCAGCAGAAGAGTGACCATTCACAACAAATTCAGGATCGAGTAAATCGACCAAATACACATCTTTGCATGTACGGCTTTTAATTTTTAAGTTGAAGTTTGTTCCTTTACAAAGATTCTGCAACTTTTTGTACTTTTTTAGGAACAATTTTCAACATTGCAACAAGGAAGTTGCTTCTACTCATTTTGTAATATAAGACTGAAAAAATTGTATTAACAAATCAACATTGGCATGGAAAATGTGATATTTCAATAACTAAACAGGGAAAATACTGAGTAATATTAGAAACAGACTTCAACATGCAAAACACTGCCTGTATCTTCTTTGCAGTGTATCATTGCCACTGGCAATTTCCGAATTGGATTTGACTGAAATAGACTACAATTATTTGACGGAAATCTCAAAAAACGTTGTATTTAAGCAATTATTGGTTAGCATGAATATTAAATTACAGTTTCATTCATTAATTTACAATCAGCAAATATTATAATATCTCAAAAAGAATCATACTTTGTGCATTGTTGATATATCAAATAGATCTTGAGGTAGCACCCATTTAAACCATCCAAAGTCTACCAAAAAAATAGAAAAGCTGAAACACATTAAATTTTAGCGCAAAAACCTTGCAAGCGCTAATAAAAAATTACCATAGACTAGTTTGTTTGATAACTTATTACAAAAAAAAGAAACAAGGCATAGTTGAGTTCTGAAACGAAGATTATTCAAAGAACAGCTGAATTGCAACAAAATAATAAAGCAAACTAAAGCACCGTTTTGTATGGCTATCGTACTGAGCAGGGACTGCACGATAAAATCCTTTATAAGAGCTTTCAGCACGGGTGTGAGCAACACATGGTATTTTTCGTATCATGGTACCTTCTTCTAATCTGCTTTGTAGTAATGGGTATTCCATTATTTTGCTTGCAGTATTCTTCAGTATCTAAAATTTTGGAATATTTCATTCAAAATTAAAAAGTCAATACAATTTCGACCTTTTGTCATGCATTCACTGATGAAGTATTTAAAATTTTATGGTACTTTTTTAAAAATTTAACACTGAACGACAATCTGCAACCTATCTAATATTAAAATGAACATATAGATTTGCATATTCATCGAATTCTAAAAATAAATTATATAGTATAAACTATCATGCGATAAAAATGTTTTACTTGAAATACCTTTTCTACTGTTGTAAAAATGTTTTTATTAACGACCCAAAATGTACTCGACATGCGATCTTTCTTCTCGAAACGGACGCTTACAATTTCTGGGAATGACTCGGGCTTATACTGTTTAAACGCTGCATGTATGAAAAGTTTTTGGACCTAAATCAGTTATGAATATAGATGCATTCAAGATAAAGAGAATAAAACATACTCAGAAATAAAACAGTTATAACAAAAATGTCATGCATATACCTGCGTGCCACCACAGTGAGCACATGATTTCGGACACAGATGGCTTTCTGAAATAGATTTTTAGATGCAGTGAATAAGAAAATGTAAAAGATTTTGAAGTCATTACTGACTTTTGAAAGAAATAAAATTTTGCGACACAAATTGGAACACAAATGTCATGAGGATGTAATAACGAGGCAAATTGTAATTTGCCTTTACATCATTCATGATATCTAAATTCATGTTAAATGTAAAATTTCAAAGTGTAGCTCATCTAAATTTCAAAAGAAAATCGGCAAAAAATTAGTTATAATCTGAAAATAAGCAACAGAGTTGTTGTAATCTCTTAAGCAACAAATCATTCGTAACTTCATCGAATTTGATTAAATTATTGAGTAGACTTTACTTACTGATCTGTTCCATTTCGTAAATCTAAAATATTCTTCGATTAATTTATTGTTTTAAAAAAATATGCTAGCAGTATTAAGACTTTCATAACTGAAGACTAAATTCTGAAAAAATTTATGACAATTTTTAAGGATTATTTACTGTAAAAATTTATTAGTATGAAAAAACTTTACTTGTTCTGTAAAAGAACAATTATAAGGCAATTCATTGCCGGAACTGGGGTAGACGTTGCTTGCTAAATGTGGTAAAGATGATTTGAGGTGTTTCTTACCTTCAATATGTAATGAAATAAACAATGCATACATTATAATGATCATCGTTGCAAAGAATAGCATCCGTTTAGGATTGAAGAAAAAATTATCATTAAATGAGAATCATCCTTATATTCTATTTCTATTTATGTATTAATGTTACCGTAAAATGCTTGTTGGATGTCTTGATACAAGTTTCCAATTTTTACGAGTAATTTTGCATTTACACATCCGAAAACTGGAACAGATCTCGAGAGCGAATCTGAAAAGCAGAAAACTTATTACGGATAGGAACAAACACTCTTACTTACATATGAAAGTCAAGTATTTATATAAACCACTTATCATGTTAAATGTCTACAATTTTGCTTAATTGTTAGTAATAATAAATAACAATCAATAAAGTATGGTAATGCATATTTTTGTTGACCAACACTTGGCCATTCAATTAAAAGTATAGTAACACAATATACAAGCGATAAAAAATGATAAGCAATCCCATCTGATAATACCAAGAAAATGTTATGAGTAAAATTGAAAATGTTTTTTTTGAAACTTTGCATGTCTACATTTTATAATATCTCATGAACAATATATCTCCATTTAATTTTTTATGAAAATTTTTTCAATATTGTACCATATTTAGCAAGTATGTACATGATCTATTTCTTTCTCTGAATTTTCAGATAGTTTTCGTTCATTTTTCTATCAAATAGTTGCATATCTTTGTTCTTTTCAGTAAAATACATAGTCTTTTTTCTCATTAGGTGGTTAGAAAAATTTGGTACTGAATTTGGTCTTACCAACTTCACATTTACACATTTGTCCAACAAAACTCTTGTATATAGCGACTTGTCTTGGAGGGACAACTACAGGACACAAACAGATAAATAGGCCAAAATGAGATACTTCAACTGGAAATTCATAAATCTCATTGAAATTGATCTCACATTGAACCCCTCTATCGATAAGATACATCTAAAATCATAGAGAAACAATTATTCTTATTATTATTTTGCGTGAATCTTATTTTTTAATGGTACTTATACAAACTTTTCCAATTCATAATCAGAAATTTATAGTTAAGAGATTGAAAAAGCCTCACCGACAATGTGTGAGGTGTAGGTCTTTGAATTACATATGAACGTTCCAATATCCCATCCACTTTTGCAATATATACTTCACCTAAAATGATATGAAAAGTAACTGACGTATAATTTTCGATGTGACAAAAAAGAAATCTGCTTGATAAGGAAAAATTAATTTTGTAAGCATTTATCATATTAAAAAATTTTTCATTAATTTCAATAAAATTTATTTGCTTGACAAGACAATTTACTTCTGTAAACAGTGAATAATGAATTGCGCCCTTTATCAAATGTTAATCTCATAATATATTAATTATAAGCAAGCATTACTAAATCGCTACTCATTGCACGAACTGACCTTATAAAATAACTCCTCCATGTCAATCTTACATAAATTTAATATTTTGATGATTTTTACATTCATATAAATAAAACGATTTTCTTAATACAGATTCTTTTCGGCCTTGCCGAGGTGATGAGTGGTTGCTTCTGAGAAGCTGTGTTCAATGAACATAAAATGGAGGCTAAAAGGAAAAAGTCCGCATCTGGAACATGAATGAAAACAATCCAAAAACAGGTGCGGTTCGAAAAAGCTATGTGAAGAGTGTAAAAGAACATACTGTCAGCGTACGGGAACCCAATGCCGGCAGGATGATCATGAAAGCAATCGTCCGTGGAATTGAAACCTCACGAACCAAGTAGCCAGGAGAGGTGCTAGAAACGGTCCCTGACCGATTTGGAAGAATGCTGAAAGGGGAATGGTCATTGTGTCGTTCTCTGTATAACAGAAATTTTCGTGTGCTATTACTCTCGAAGAACTGAAGAAGCACGCGAATTCTGTGATCATAAATATTGCAGCTCGTCCGTGCTCACAGAAACGGTTCTTGGAGGAGTCCACGAAATCAATCCACAAAATACGCTACATGAATTTAAGGTTTATCTAGATATGAAGGAAAAATATTTAGTGGTGATGCAAGAGGCACAGAGACGTGAGATAAACCAGACAAAAAGGACGCGGAAAATAACGTCGAGAACGTGGACCAGCTCATACTTCGAGCAGTAAACCAAGCGGCGGATGAATATGCTACACAGAATCCGCCCAAGTCAATGACTGATATTGCAAGGCAGCTCCAGGCAGCACAACAATGTTATGAAGACATGACGAGGCGAGAGAAGAAACCGTCTGGGTGGAAAGCAAGCATACAAAAGAAGATAAGCTTGTTGAATACCCACAAATCCCTCATAGAACGGACTTTGGCCGAGGTAAAAATGGTAGGTAAAGACTTAAAGGAGGCCAAGAAGTGTATGAGGGAGATGAATCTCATACTTGCTCTTAAGCGTGACTATCATGAAGCGTTAAGCATATTTACAGACCGTATGAGAGTTTACGAAAGTAAAATAAAAAGTTGTGAACCCGATGTGCATTCAAAATACAAAACGCCAGATTCGAGCTGTTCAGACGAAGTTTTTATAGAAGTCTGACCGAAGAACAGCCCGTAAGCCACAATGAAAGGACCGAATAAGTCAGGGATTTTTGGGGTACGATGTGGAACTCGGAATGAGAAAATATGATGATATCCAACACAACGAATGGTGGCAGTTCCAACAGATTAAGGAATGCATATTAAGAATCATCTGTTGTTTGTGGATGATCTCAAGATCTTTGCGACTGATGAAGATATCATGAAATCTATGGCAGAAGAAGTTGAAAGCTTTCTTGATGTGGTAAGACTAGAAGTAAGTTCAACAAAGTCAGCCAATACCAGGTATGCGCTGATAAAGCGGCGCTAATGGAAGGAATCAAGGGTATAAATATTTTGGAATAGTGGAAGACAAGACATGTGCACCTACTCGTGAAAGCTACGATGAAGTCCGTGCAGAGATTTGGTAGAATTGAGCGATTAGCCAGAACTGCACTGAATGGCAAGAAACGTTATTAAGA